CAAAGTACCAGAAAAAATTCATTTTTGATATTCAAAGCCCTACTTGGCCTAGGTTTATATTTGTGCTTGATTTCTCTTAAATTTTCCGTGTTTTGGTAGTCCAAGTGATCAGCTGTCTCCCTCCCCAGAAAGTCAAGAACCATTGAAAACACTTCATAGTTTTCAAATCCAGTGTAAAATCTTAATAATTTATCATTTTCCTTTACAGTTTCGATGCTGAGGGCTTTCTTCTCGATTAATAATTCCAGCTCCTTTCTGGCACTTCTTTCTTCTTCAAGTTGATTCTCCAGCTCTTGTATTTTTTTGTTCAGTTCGCGCTCCTTAGTTTGCCATTTCTCAAGTAAACATGAGATTTCGTCATTCTTTAACTGAAGTTGATGTTCCCAGTTTTCATCTACAATTTGAAATAAACCTTCACTTTTGAGATGTTCAGTTTCCATACCATCTGAAACAGATTTAAAATTGGTGTTTTCAATGTTTATCGGTTCGGGGGCTGAATGCTGCTGCGATTTCTCTATTTTTGTTTTCTTTGTGTTCAACGTTGCTCGATCAGCGGGCTCTTTCCTCTTTAGTTTTTCAACAGTAAATATAAACTTTGTCGGTACGGAATCTGGCTTCAAGCGAATTCTTTGTCCTCCCATTGGTTTTATCAAGCAATTAGCTTCAAAATGCTGACTACAGACATAGGAGTTTTTGTTTACCGGAGTGTTCTCTCAACGCAGTTTCACGAGCCATTGTGCCAGCAAATTCTTGTTTGACAGCGGCAGCGAATGCCATGAGAAGTCCTTGCATTCCGCTTTGGAACTTCGGTTTTGACACCCAAAAGCTATGCAATATTTCACCATGGATAAAGAAACTAAAAACTCGAGAAAATATTATATAAATACCAAGCTACTACTAATTTCCCTCTCTGCTTCCTTGTACTTTAGAGCGAGCTAGACCCAATAGCCTCGTTTAAGCGTAAGCTCATCCGGAGACCGCTGATTTCGCGTGCTCAACTCCGATAAGAGCTATTTGGTCATTCCCATGAGTGACACTTTTTACTTCGATGGGGTACAATTTTTGAACCGGTCTAGAAATGCGCACAGGTTTACCCTTGGCAATGACTCTTACATTCGCTCCCCTTACAACATTGTCTTTTCCTCTAATAAGACTCTCTACTACTGCCATTTTCCACTCTCCTCTCTTTTTGTTCTCCTCATAAACTGTCACTACATCACCTGTCTGAACTTCTCTGACTACACGTCCTGCCTTTGCTCTGTGAAACTCACGTAAATTGACTAAATACTCGTTTCTCCATCTCTTCCAAAAATGTGCTAACTTCACCGTCAAATAACGAAACCTTTCTGAAGAACTACTCTCGTTTTCTTCTGGTTCTTCAGCTATCTCATCTGGCATAGACTGAATTCTTCTACCAAAGATTAAGTGTGAAGGTGTTAGAACTTCATGCTCTACCTCGTTATAATCGTACGTAAGTGGACGGGAATTTAGAGTTCCCTCTACCTCTACTAACACGGTTAGCAACTCGTCAAACGTTAGTCTTGCGTTACCCAACACCTTTCTAAGGCACGCTTTCACGCTCCCAACCATTCTCTCGAAAAACCCTCCCCACCAGGGTGCTCTCTCTAAGTTAAATCGCCACTCGATTTTCTTTCTGTCTAGTTCGCTCGCTACCTCTGGATGATTAAACAAATCATTGAGCGCTTTTTCGGTCGCCTGAAAAGTTTTCGCGTTGTCGGATACAATCAAGGTCGGCGTTCCTGAATGCCTCGGCTGACAAATCTTCGACTAATTCTAAATGAATTGCTCTGGTTACGCAGCATGAAAACAAAGCAATGTAAACTTTTCGCACGCCCCCTGTTGCTGCCTTAACATACAATGGTCCCGCAAAATCTACGCCTACTTTCGAAAACGCTGGCACTTGTTTCACTCTGAACTCTGGCAGTGCTGCAGTCTGGGGTGCGCTAAATGCCCTTCCTTCTTGTTTCTTGCAGGTCACGCATTTGCTCAACACTTTTTTCTCACATTGTCTACCCTTCGGAACCCAATACCTAGAGCGCATGTCTGCAAGCGTAGTTCTCACACCACTGTGCAAGACCCTTTCGTGACAGTCCCGTATCACCAATGTCGTGTAAGCGTGGTCTCTTGGGAGAATAATTGGTCTGCGCGCGTCGACTTCTAAATCGGAATTAACCAATCTTCCAACACATCTAAGAATTCTATCGTTTTCTACTAACCCTAACTCACTCACCAGATGCTGAAAGTTTCCTTGTCTTCTCAAATCTGCTTGCGCCGCTTTCAACCATTCGCCTTCGGCCTGAACCAATTCTTCTCTTTTCAGTCTTCCCTTTCTTTTGACTGTCTGGTCTTGACCTGGACGTGCATTGTTGATGAAACGCAACACCCATGCGGTCACTCTGAGCAGTTTCCCTAACGATCCATGACGATTGATGTCTACAAGGTTCGCAACTGTAGGCGGTCTCAGAACTTGCACAACCATAACATTGGTCGTCTTTTCAATTCTTCTTCGCTTTCGGGAGTGCGGATGTCTTCTACAGTTGCTGGCCACTTCTCTTCTCCCGGTGTTAACCACTGCGGTCCACACCACCACAGTTTGTCGTCTCTGAGTTTTGATCCAAGGGCTCCGCGCGAACCGATATCCGCTGGGTTTTCTTCACCAGGACAATGTCCCCAGTGCACTATGAAAAGTCCTTATAAATATTCATTTATGCAAATTAGCTCGTTTCAGTCTTCCATTGTTGTTATTTGACGCGCGGCCGAATTTCCTTTTCGCTGCGTGGCTTGCGAGTCATTCATGCGCGAAGAGACTGGAAGCGAAATGGAGCCTTATAAGCATGCGCAGTTGTTTCCAATCGATTCAGCGTGGCTGTTTTCGTGTAAAAAGTTCCTTCGAGTGTTGATCGGTGTTGTTCGCGGTTTGTTTTAGATTTTTTAAGCTTTCGTCAAATTTTCAGCTGAAGCTAGATCGAAAGATTGTAAACGGTAAAATTATCTGTGTTTTAACGACCTTGCCGGTCCATGCCGGTTAGGTTTCGAGCTTTTACATTGCTTTTGGACTTCTCTGGAGGAAAGTAAGTGGTTTCTTTACTTTGTGCACACGCGTGAACATAGTTTAATTTCACGAAAAAGGTTGGTGGTTTAAGAGTGTTCCGTCCAAGATGGACGTCAAGTGTCACAAGGAAAAGTTGGCTTCGTTTTGTCGGCGATGCGGGAACTTTTTTGATACAAATCCAGCAACAAGTAGACATAAACCGAAGCTTGCTGTAACTTTTTCTAAGGAGCTCCAAGCAGTTGATGGGTTAGATGTTAGCAACGACAGTGAAGAAATGCATCCACCGTCTCTGTGTCGATGCTGTATTTTAAAGCTTGAACGTTTCAAGAAATCGAGAAACAGAAACGATCGTCAATTAAAGTTTCCAGGTGACAAAGGTAAATGTTGTGTGTTTTTGACTCATGATTCCTATGTGAAAGAGGGAAGTTGCCCAATTTGCTGTTTTAATTTAAGACAAAGCCGAAGGAAAAAAAGGCCCCATGAACCTGACAACAGCCCCTCTGCAAGTGGAAATGCCAGTGAGAATTCAGAGGGAGCTGCAGCTGGGGGTAAAAAGAAACCTCCTTTTGTTAGACAGGTCTTTACCAGTTCAGCTGAAAGTTCAACATCAGGAATGGCAAGCAGCACCAGCACTAGTGAAACCCCTATGACAAAAAAACAAACATGAACTTTGATTTGGTTTAGTAGAAATTGTTCTAGCATTAGCTTGATAGCCACCAAAAATATGGATGATATTATCACAAATTGTGGCGAGGACAAATATTGTGGTGCAACCATGGGAAATTGTACAGAACACCCATTCCACAAAAAGTGGGCCCAATGTCACTTGGAAAATCGAAAAAAATCAGTTTCACAGAAAGTACGTGGCGAATCATTCAATTTAAAGCGCAAATATCGAAGAGTAAATACCTCAAAAATTAGCACCAAAGGTCATATATTTCCGTAGTTATGAAACATTTTATTGTACTTACTTGAAAATCACTTTAGGCAAAAAAATCACCGATCTTTAAAATAATTTTCCACTTTTTTAAGTTCTCGTTTTTAAGTTATTCAAAATCAACGTAGTATATACTTAATACAGGGCAACATGTAAATAAAAATCATACTATTAAAGTGCTCTGCTCCTACAAAGAAGAAAATATAGAGATCTAAAAATAATTTAAACCGTCTGAAATTGTTTCTTTTTAAAAAAAGTTTTTTTATAATTATACTATATTCTTCTTCAGAGGAAGAAGAAAGAACAACTACGTTCTTTTACAGAAGCTAAGACCATGCCATTATATTCTTCAAGTCTGTTAGGACGTACGTATAGACCTTTTCTTGAAATTTTAATCATAAGCTTGGTAACGGAAGTTACAAAAAAAGTAACGGAAGTTACAAATGAGTAAGCTATGACCTGAAACTTGTTTAATACCTTAGCTGCCATATGGCACGAATTTTCACGAAGGAAAACATAAAACTAATCGCCTTCCTTTCAATAAACGTTACAATTAAACAATCTTCTAAAAAAAATTACATCATTAAATCTTCTAAATTACGACATTTGCATATCCATGGCCAGAAATCAAGGACAGCCAGCGGTTCCGACCGTAGGCTCATTTTATGCGAATGTTGAATAGCTGCTAAGGTTGCCTCGATCTAAAAATGGCGGCTAAGAAGACGTGTTCCTTTTACCGCGAATTGAATAATTTGAGCACTGCCGATTTTTTTAATGATCAAAAGAGGCTGAAATCATCAGCCAAGGGACCATATTATGAGGTGGAACGTGTGATTTCAAAGAGAAACCGCAAAGGCAAGGTAAGTTGCTTCGTTTTGTTTGTCCGATCTGATGTACTCAAATGGAGTCAGTCAATAATCAGGCTAAAATATATCTCAATTACGCCTTAGGTTGAATATCTTGTGAAGTGGAAGGGCTACGGCTCCCTCTCCAACACTTGGGAACCAGAAGAAAACCTTAATTCGTTGGCACTGAAGTGAGAACGGTGTTTTGATTAAGATAAGTTCTCTCATTGGGCATTAATATGGAACTTGACAGTAGCATTTCTGAGATTCTACGATTTGATCAAATAATTTAGTCACAAGTTCCGATGTTACAATCTTAAAACCCGTGAAAGCAAATATTTTGAAAATTCTAATTTTTTAAATAAACCGATTGTTGTCTTATTGTCATAGGCAATATTTAGTGATTCAATTTCCCTGTTTGATGGTTAATCTTTGGCATTTTTGTATATAAAATTCAAGTACATTTTTCAACTGTACAGGTATCTATCTCTATCTGACCAAAAATAAATTGTCTTTATTGATTTTTTCCCTTTTTAGAGCATATTTAAACCCAAAGCCTACCCAGGAGTTAATTAGTTCAAGTGTGGATGCCTTGCATGCTGCAATTTTGGAAAACCTTGCCTCAAAGAGTTTATCTCCAACAATCATTCCATTCAGGCATGATGTTTTCCAGTATCTTTTCAGGGGAAAGGGGAAAAAAAGCCAAGACTTTGGAAATGTACTGTTGGAAAAACAGGATTTTTCCAACTGCTCCCTTCCAATTGATTGGGACAGACTTTTAGATAGCTTGGGGGATGGAACACTAGTTGAATTTCCTATAAAAGTGCGGCTATTTATGTCAAGAAGCCCTAAAAACCATACTGTGAGCAAGGAAAAAGCAATAATATCATCGCCTAGGTATTTTATTGAAAAACTAAGCATTAATTGTAAGAAAAAGCCATTGCGTGTTTCTGCAAATTAGTTTATTTATATATGTGTAAATGGTTTTGTGTACAATATCAGTATATATAATTCTGATACAAATCAGTTTTTATACTCTTTCTGTCTCAATATAATTGTAAATACCTGTACCTTAAGAATAAATGACAATGTTTTACTATCATGTCAATCCTACCATTAATAAATCTCTGACCTATATACAAGATATGCTACTACAATTCACAGGTGGCATTATTAATTTTTCTTCTCTCGTAGTCTTTTGCTCTTCCTGTTTTCCCTGAGATCATGTTCCCAATAGGAACTTTTCCTTTTACTGTAGGTTCTCTTTGCACGCTCACTGTCGCGTAGATTCCATTGTCTGGACTCAAGCTTAAGAATGTCAGCAGGAGCATCCCATTTGTTAGATTTTTTGTGAACTATAGCCCTGGCCATATCATTGTTTTTTTCAACTCCTTGCCCTGTAAACAGTTTGATAGTTCTATAGTTTTGCAGAAATATGGGAATGTGGTAGACCATAGCATGCATGTATGGGGTTACATTAGCTCTTTTATAGCCATGCCTTTTTTCTCCTAGTGATGTAAACAGATTCACCCATTCCTTTGCTTTCCAGAAGTAGTCATTTATCATTTCTGTGGAGGGATTCCTGCAGGTTACAGTGCTATATATTTCCCTAAACTTTTCCCATACAGTTTTTACTACTTCAACTGTATCTGGCTGAATAATCCCATTGAGTTTGGTTGGAAGTTCATTAAGCAATTTTTTCTTGTCTGACCCCAAGAGGCTAGTAAAATCGTATTGCCCAGACCCTTTCCCATCAGCATTTGTTTTTTCCCATATGTCAAAGGAGACCCCACATGATCGAATTGCTGCCTGCAAATTTTGTAGGTGTTCATTTTTTTGTTGACATTTCCTCTTGTCCCAGTTTTTGCTTCTGTCCCAGTCTAAGGCATCCCGAACCAAATTTTCTATGAGAACATCTGAAATCCTTAATAGAAGGTGCAGTTCATCCAACACTACATGATCGAGCTCTATATGAAGTAGAGGCTCATGTTCACAGCAATATTTGTCATTTTGTTTCTTTTTCTTTACTAGTTCAAACATCTCTGTAAGAGTTCTCCTTAGATCTGGAGATTGATAATGGTCTAAATTGAAGCTTGTGTCCCACCTCATGTCTTTGTGTATTTTGCACCATACACATGCATAGTGTGAGGTAGCACCCTTCAAACCCATCACAAGTAAAATGAATTTGTAATCGCCCCCTAGGAAAAATTCCAAATTAATTGATTTGCCACCCACTTCTATTTTCTTCTTACTTATAAGAGAATTGATGTCCTTGAAGACATCTTCAAATGACTGCCTTAAGGTATTGTAGTGTTCTTTACCCTTCACAACAGCTATGGTGTGGTTACCTTTTGCTGCCATAACTTCATCATCTGAATGGAGTAGGGCAAAACTCATAAGTATGAAACTAGAATTTCTGGTCATTCTCGCCCCATCCCCTGAAATTTTGATTTGTACATGATCCACATGTGGATGGCTTGCCACATAGTCTTGAACCCTGTCTCTCAGAAGGTCAGTGAATGATGTCTGTGCCCCTTCCGTCTCACCGGGGGTGGAGGTGATATGACAGATGTCATTCAGCTGACTTCTCCTTTGCTTTACAAGGTATGACTTTGGCAAGCCATCAACTACCATTGTAAGCTCAT